TCTTTAAAGATGTCATGGCAGACCAGACAGGAGAGATCCTTTTCTGATTCAGAAGACATTTATATTCTCTGAGTGAAGTTCAAAACACAGCAGACAAAAGAATAAAAGCAGAAGTCAGTCAATCAAGAAAAGTTACTTTCACTTTGAGTCGTAGCTCCTCTAAATCTTCTTTTTGTAAAGTGGAATGAGCAGCAGGTTGAAGTAAAGTCCAGTGCTCCACTAATCCAGGTGTTACCAGTGTTTTGTTCCTGTGGTCCGTCTCTGCAGAAGTCCTGAGTTTGTTCTGGTGGTGAATGTTGAACACACTGGACCCAAAGTGCTGCAGTGTCATGTGACTCACATGATTTGATGCCCACAACTGTATAATGAGGAACACATATAGCGCATGCACCCATCTGGTGCAAGTGACCACGCCTTAGTTTGCGTGTGTTATTGGCTATCGGTGCATGTCCTCTCTATTTAGAAACAGCGGCTTTTGACATCGTAATGATTGCTGAATGTAGCTGTTGTTATCAGGAACTATGCATGAAAGACATATTTTACAAACATTTGGCTGGTGGTTGGTGCTCATTTTGTGCCCTGACTGTCATTGAGGATGTTCAGCATGGAAACACAGGGTCTAATCTACATTCTCAGAGAGAGAAACAGCACAGAAGAGAGCAAAGGAAAATGCACCGTAAAGTTTTGTAAAGCTACTGGATTTTTAGCATCAAATGCAAACATTATTCCCCAAATCAGGACCTTTGCAAACTAGATGAAATTTAAATTACATCCCTCAGTTATGTTTTATGTTGGGAAAAAATGACAAGTAATCCTGAGAACCCATTACACAACAGTTATAGCGACCTCGAAAAGTGGCCTGGCTGTTGATGACACTACAGTCCCGTTCCTTATGGGAATATCCCAGTAAATTTACATACATATTACATTTACTAATCTTTATTGTAAGGGAGAACCTAATCATCTTGCTATCTCCACCAGTATCACCTTCTTCTTATACTTTTTCCACCCATTATTTGCCAGTTGACACATTTTACATTTTACTTCCTCTCAGAGTCATAACTTAAAGCAGAAAAGCTCTAACTTTAGCTAAGAAAAATTCAGTATTCTTAAAAAAAGTCAATGTACGGACTAAAACATTCTTAATATTTGAGTGCTACTGATGTTTATTGTTTTGTCTTGAAGTTATTAGCCTAATTCTGGCCCATCCCGGCTCTGTCTGGCTTCGTTTTGCCCTGATTGACTCGCTATTGCTATTTTTAGCATTGTTGGTCCTATCTTGCTCTGTTTTGCCCAGTTGCCCTGTTATTAGCCCCATTTGTGCCCTGTCTGGCTTCGTTTGAGTCTGGATGTCCTGCTTGGCTCGTCTAATCCCTGTTGGCCCTGTCTAGATCACTTTACCCCTCTTTTGGACCTGCCTTGGTCCCACTAGCTTTGTGAAGCCTCTGTGGACTGTCTGTCTGTGTTTAACACCATTTGGCCCTGCCTGGCTCTGCTTAGCCCAGTTTGGTCCGGCCCGGCTTTGTGGTCCACATTCTTTTAAACCACACGCTAAAAAGCTGCAGATTGAGAGGAGGAGGAGGAGGAGGAATCCCTGACGTTGCCATTGGTCGAGGAGTTTTTCTGACTCACTCTGATTGGCTGGCAGAGAGTGAGCAGGGAATCCCTCAGGGTTCTCTGTGTCTTTGTCTCAGATTAAAAACACAAACAGTCCAGTCAGGCCTCGCTGCTCCAGGTAGTCCTCCAGTCTGCTGAAGACCAGGACTGAATCACAGCCTTTCTGTAGCAGAAAGCAGCACAGCTGCTGTTTTTAAGACCATAAATCTCCCTGATTACTGCCAGTCTGCTGCTGCATGGTCTACAGCTGTAACGTAGGAGGTACCTGTAATATGTAGCAGAGCAGTGTGAGTTCAGAAAGAAAAAAAAGGGGAATGAGAGAGCTGCAAAAGCAGAAAGTGTTGGAAAACGTATCTGTTTCCCTTCAGGGGCGTGTTGGAGCAAAATCAGGAGGTGCAGAGACCTGCTGAGTTCATGTTGCAGAGGGTGGAGAAGGAGAGCTGGCAACAGGACGAATCAGGAGGGAAGAGTGGAGGAAAAAAATAAAACAGAAAAAAAGGAGCAGGACTCCAAAGCTGAAGAGGAGAAAGGTGAGTTTCTAAAGATATAATAACAGAAAAGAAGAGAGAAAGTCTGAATGAGAAAAAAGACCTTTGGAGTGAAAAGTGAAGAAGTTAGTGAATGTTTGTCAGCAGGAGTGAGATGAAAGTCTAGACGATTAAATTGCAGTGAGCTGTGGAGAGCCGGCGGAGCAGAGCGGCGGCAGGAGCGACGGTGGGCGGGGAGAGAGAGGAAGTGTGGTCGACAGGAGAGGAATTTAAAGTCCCATTGTTCTGGAAGAGCAGACGCAGAGAGAGCTGAGGAGCCGAGGAGTCGAACCGGACAACATGGACGTGACCTCAGCCATGGAGAAGGTAGGATAGAAACATTTACATCTAAAACTCTTATTGATAGATTAGCAACAGTAATGAGGAGGTCAAAGGTCAGAGGGTCAGCTTGTCTGATGATAGATCTTCTGTTGATGGATCTGGAGAAACTCTTATCTTGGATTAAGGAGACTTTACTGAGTTCAAATGAACTATATTACCATTCAGTATAGAGTATATGTGCACTAACAGAGCAGCTTTGAAAGAGGATTTACATACAAACACCCAGAAACTTCTCACCTTTCTGTTCTGTTCTTTTGTTTTCATGAAGTTAATCATAATTAGGCCATTTTGTTTCACTTTATTATTCAGTGTTCATGTTAATTTATGTATGATGAAGGGTTATTTTGTTTTATTTTTAAGCTTTATCTGTTCGGGGGGTTGACTGAGAGCAATGCTCTCTTTTTCAGGAACACCTGATCACATTCACACAGTTACACAATCTGGGCCATTGTGCAGCTCTACTGGAGCGTTCAGGGTTAAGGGCCTAACTTAAGTGCACCCTCAGTGGTGGTGATGAGGGAAGGACAATCACTGCCTTTCACTTTCCCCACTCAGATTCATCCTGCCACTCTGTGGGATTGAACCGACAACCTTCCGATCACAAGCAATCCGATGAGCTCACTGACATCATTTTCAGTTGTTAAAAGCAGTTAACCTGATGTTTTATGTTGATGTTTATGGAGTATAGAACATTCATGGATCATATACGTAGAGTAATTATCGGCCTTATTTGCAGTTGTCCTGTTAATGCTTGCCATGATGTCTGTGGTTCAGGAGGTAGAGCGGGTGGCCCCTTAATTCGGTGGTTGGTGATTCGATCCCCGGCTCCTCCTGCTGCATGTCAAAGTGTTCTTGAGCAAGATACTAAACCCCAAATTGCTCCAGATTAATGACTTTGCTTCTTTTTGTGATGGCCTTTACCAGCAGTGTGTGAATGTGTGTCTATGTGACATGTAGTGTAAAAACACTTTGAGTGGTCAGAAGGCTAGAAAGCTGCTATATGAGTGCAGTACATTTGCTCTGATTGGTCCATTGTTTTTCTAATTGGAAAAATGCATCAATGAGCTCAAAACCAAACCTGTTTGAATTACTGTTCCTGTTTGAAAATCAATTGTAACATTAAATTAATCCTGTCTAGACCTTTAAATTGCCGACCACGTTTCGGTCAGCAATTTAAAGGTCTAGACAGGAT